AAGGCTCAAATAAGACTTGCAGGTCATGTCTTTCAGCCCTAGATATTGTGTTAAAAAATTACACGTATACTCATTTGGGCCCCATTATTGTACTTTAGTTACACATGGTACTAATGCATATAACTGTATGCCATCATTGGGTATTTTTGGTGCCTAGACATATATGTTTGCATACTTTTTATACTGTCCACCCACCTACAAGCAGGTAAACACTGAGAGGGCACCCAGTGTCTAAGGGCAGGTTCATTTTCTGGACCAGATCTGGAACTCAGTGTATTGCATTTTACCTAATTGTTACTGTGATTTTGCCACGTTTCAGAGCATTTTTATTGTTTGCTTTTTTTTTAGCTTAAAATGGACTTTTGTTTGTATGCGTTTCAGTGTATTCCAGACCAGACAAAATGATACAAGCAGTATTTTTCTAGTCTAGCCTGGAACAGATTGAGCTGATGTGAACAGAGGACAGAAATAGCATGGGGATACATGCATAGGGATACATGAGGATGCATTTTCGGTCCAGAAACAATCTGGTCTGGTCTGCAGATGATCTGGATGTGATGTGAGGGCCCATGCATGCACCATGAGGGCATTCCTGTATCTCGCGATACGGTGCGGTGCCATTGATGTGAATGGCACCAACACGCCCCCTCCCTCCGCAGAACGCGGCCCGGCTTCATGTATGCAATTCAGTGCATTCCGGGTGCGATCTGCACCGGGACACACTGGATATGTGTGATTGGGCCCTTAATGAGCCCTAAGAGGGATGCCATGAAAACATGTATTCTACAAGAAATGGCACCTTTTTATCTTTTATTTATCAAGCGCTTCCAAAGAGGATAACTGTACAGATAAAACAGAAGACTCCTTTAAAGAATGTATTAAAATACAGGGGATAGCAATACCTTTAGAAAAAAAAAAGCTAAATTAACTTAACTCTTTTGATTTTGGCATGTATAACTCTATAATCTCGACAGACAGATCAGATATTTTTTTTTTGAATAGTAGTAATAATTGTTTTGACATTTGCTGGTTGGCACAATATGCCTATAATCTTCAGTAAGCCTTTGTAAACCAATATATTTATAGTTTTGCAGGATAGAATGTGATAAAAAAAAACATTACCAAACAATTAGCTATAATTTGAGAATCAACCTGCTGTATAATAGACAGAAAATATCCAATGTAAGTAATCAGTTAGCACTCAGTGTGCCGTGCCCCTTCTCATAGCCGCTACCTTGTGATTGCAGCACGTGCACTAATTTCAAGTGCCATCTGGTGTATTCACCATGTCTGTGATTGCAGGGTGCGCAGTCAATCAGAGCTAGTTTGCATTGGCAATTATTGATGTTGATTTCAGTTGAAGAATTTAGAAAACAAGACTGCAAACTAAACGTCATATAGTAATAAACAACTAATCTTATCACATAGTAACTAGTAATTATTAACAAATAACTAAACTTGCAATGCAGCAACAAATAACTAAAGTGGTTGCATAGTAACCAGTAACTAAACTGTTACATAGTAACAACTAAACCTGTCACATCATAAAAAGTATCTAAACTGTCCCATAGTAATTAACTTAGGGGTGTGAAAATTAAAGATTAATTTCTCGATTAATCATTAAACTTTTTGATCGATTAGAATTATTTTGATCGCTAATGAAAACACTCACCTCTCCGCCGGCTTCCGGGAGTACTGTTGGTGATCCGGTGACGTCACGGACATCAATGTCACCGGACTCCTCCCCCCTTCTGGCTCCGTCAGCTAACGAAGGGAAGGGGGGAGGAGTCTGGTGACGTCGACGTCCGTGACGGCTAACGAAGGGAAGGGGGAGGAGTCAGGTGACGGCGATGCCCGTGACGTCACCGGACTCCTCCCCCCTTCGTTAGCTGATGGAGCCACTTGGGCCGCTGAGTTTGCCCAAGAAACTTTTTGCACGAGCGCCAACCAAGGCATTGGCCTATACACATACAGCACAGCAATGAAGTAATAAAATGAACTAGGATCACACTAATCCAGCACGTTATTATTCTGAGTTGCCCCACTCAAGCGGCGGCCATATTGAGTGGGGCGCGTGAGATGAATAGCGTGCTGGAGTAGTGTGATCCTAGTTCATTTTATTACTTTTATTGCTGTGCTGTATGTGTATAGGCCAATGTAGTTGGATCTGTATGTGCGTTATAATTAATCGCGATTAATCGATTTTAAAAAATTTCCATTAATCGAACACGAAAATTTTAATCATTACCAGCCCTAAATTAACTATGTTGCCTATTACTTGCCACACAGTAAATTGGTGAACATCTGAATTTAGGTTTCTTGATGGAATTGAGTTCAGTTCAGGAAAACAGAGGATTTGTAAATATTGATTACCATGACACCAAGCAGCAGCACTCAATGACAAGTGCAGGAGCAATAGCCATTCTGTTGTTGGCTATTTCAAATTGCAATAGCCAATTGCAGGCTGGCTGTTGCTCCACCCACTGCCTTCTGTCAATCAGTAGAGGAGCGGACCTGAAAGAAAACTTTCTCTTTCAGGTCTGTTCCTCTGCAGCAGCAATAGCCATTCTGCTATTGGCTATTTTAAATTGGAATAACCAATAACAGAATGGCTATTGCTCCACCCACTGCCTTCTGTCAATCAGCAGAGGAGTGTACCTGAAAGAAAACTTTATCTCTCAGGTCTGCTCCTCCTGGACTGACAGAAGGCAGGGGGAGGCAGCCATTCTGCTATTGGCTATTTTAAAGCAAGCTGGCTATTGTTCCACCCCTTGCCTTCTGTCAGTCCCAGAGGAGCGGACCTGAGAGATAAAGTTTTCTTTCAAGTCTGCTCCTCTGCTAATTGACAGAAGGCAGTGGGCGGGGCAACAGCCATTCTGTTATTGGCAATTGCAATTTAAAATAGCCAATAGCAGAATGGCTATCGCTCCTGCAGAGGAGCGAACCTGAGAGAGAAAGTTCCCCCCTTCCCACAGACCCACACAACCACCAGGTCAGGGTTGTGGGGAAGAGGCCCTCGTCCCCATCAGCAGGGGGACAAGGGGCTTTTCCAGGGGGTCCCCCTGGAATAGCACCCTCCCAATGCCGAGAGCATGTGGCCTGGTATGGTGGAGGGGGGAGTGGCGCTCGTTCTTCCCCCTTTCTTGCCCTGCCAGGCTTCTGCCCAGATTAAGAGTTTGGTATGGGATTTTAGGGGGACCCCATTTTTTAAAAACTTTTTTGGCAATGGGGTTCCCCCTAAAATTCCTATTGGGGGGGACCCCACGCTGGTTTTTTTTGTCTGTGGAGAAACAAAGTAAACATGTAATGTCACTTTTCCGCAATTAATTTTAGTTGGTAATTATCATTTAACTCATCCGAAATTTAATGAAATTCGGATTCATACGAATCCGAATGCTGAAGCGAATTGACTTTCAGACCCGAATCCCAAAAAACGAAATAACGAAACATCCAAAACAAAACTAAACTAAATTAATTTTTTGCCGGCTTACATGTCTAATACTTATGTCCTCCTGTGAACCAAAACTCTGCATGATTGACAGCTGTCTCTGTTCCTCCAGTCAGCGCTGGTGGAATAGAGAGGGAGGAGGGGAGATCCACAGACTGGCAGATAGAAGATCGGGAACTTTGCGATCAGCGGTATGTGATCGCTCAATTCTCAATCAATAGATCTGATGTGTGGTAGCTTCAGTTTTGCACGTCGGCTCTAATTATGGAGATCAGTGTATTTCACTCTTTCTATAATTGTCCTTTAAGCTTTTACATTTGGAATTTCTCCTTTCTTTCTTTTCTTTCTTTCTTTCTTTCTTTCTTTCTTTCTTTCTTTCTTTCTTTCTTTCTTTCTTTCTTTCTTTCTTTCTTTCTTT